AACCCCGCTAAAAAAAAAAAAAAAAAAAAAAAAAAAAAAAAAACCACTCAAGACTAAAATCTTGAAATTTTCAAGATTTTAGGTAGGGCTTTGCTTCCGGAAAAAAGACATTCAAAACAGTTTTTTGTTTGTTGTTTTTATTATTTAATACACGAAATACAGAATATCTTTTTTTTTTTTTTGATTCCCAGAAGTTAGGTATCTGAAAAAAAAATTTTACATGTCAATATTATTTTCTAGTTTATTATTGTAAACATATTTAGTATTTCATCAGAAAGGTAATCCTTTTTCCCTAAGAAACGAAAGAATTTTGCATCAAGATGTAACACAACTGTAGGAATGGAGTAAATTAATGAAAGGATACATACAGTTTAGATTTGTGAACATCTTTGCTTGTAAAGCAGTTGTCTCTACAGACTGAACCTGTTAACACTAACTGGTAAATGTATTCCCGAGATGGGTTTGTCCTCTGAGCTGTGGTCTGATTCTGAAGAGAAGTGAATGCCTCAGGTACAGACTGAGGAGAGGCAGGCAGTGCTGTCTGCACTTGACCCTTTTAATCCAAAATCAAATCCATTTTAAAAACATTAATTTTGGAGCCGAGTTGTGGATCTCTGTGAGATTAAGGGCAGCCTGGTCTACATGGTCAGTTCAAGGCCAGCCAGGGCTACAAAGTGAGACCTGTCTCAAAAACAAACAAACAAAAACACATTTACAATTTCATGTTTGTATTTTTTCATTACAGATCTCCATTTGGGGATGAAATCTACTTTGACAACCAGCAAGGCAATATGGTACTCTTGAATGACTACAGCAATTCAGGGAAGACTTTATTAAAGCAAGGTGAACATATTAAGGCCAGTTCATTACCAGAAGAGAGATAAGGCTTATTTCAGTTGACTAGCCAGTATCTGTCATTGGGGTTAAGGCATATTATACTGGCTTTTAAGAGAATTGGAACAGAGTAGGTAGCTGTTAAAGGACCTTTTAAAATGGAATAAGTGATGTTAAATTGTTTACAGCGTCTAAGAACCACTGTATACACAAAATAAACACATTTTGGTTTGATGTGCAGTCTTTGCTTAATGAATTTTCTTATAAGAAAAAGTTTCACACATGACTCAAGACTTGATTTGTTGGATATACCAAATGAGATAATACCATTATTGTTTTTGGTGCCTACCTTTTTTTGTTACAAATTTTCTAATAAAACCTAAAAGTCCCATAAAACATAATGCACAGTTTTAAAATTGATAACATCTAGGATAGTCTACCTTATATGACACATATGAAACTGAATTCATAGTTTAAGCTAGTGATTTTTTGGGGTCTTTTTGAGACAGGGTCTCCCTGTAGGTAGCCCATGCTGGCCTGGAACTCACTATGTAGACCAGGCTGGCCTTGAACTCACAGAGATCCACCTGCCTCTGCCTCCTAAGTGCTGGGATTAAAGGCATGCACCACCACGCCTGGCAGTTTGGGTTCTTAATCAAACCAAATGGTTTTGGTTTTTACCACATTAGGTCTTATAAAAGTTTGTTTTATATAGCAGTATTATGTAAGAGAAGAGACAAATAGCTTAAAGCATGCTAAAAGTAGTTTATTTCTTAAAAGTTTTTTTTTTTTTTTTTTTACACTGGCTTTGGCCTACAAATACATTGAAAATAATTATAACTATTTTCTATCTTTTTTACATTGGACAAGTACATTATTATTTTTATTAAATGGTGTAATTTCCCACACTAAGTGGGAAGTATAAAAAAATCATTGTCAATTAAGAGTCATTGTCAAGATTTTTTAAAAAGTTACCTCAGAGGATTGAATTCTAATCTAGGACTCATTAAATTCCTATTTTACAAACCCTAATAAAGTATTATAATAAGTTGCCCAAGAATAATCCCAGGCAGTAAGCTGATGGAGCACCTCTCAGGACACTCACCTTTAAACACAAGCGTCTAGAAGGTCAGTCCATTAGTACCTCATTTTACATCCTAAAACACATGGGCTGTACTGCAGTTCTAAAGGGTGAATTTCCCTGCAGTGTTCTGAAGGAAAATAGTCTTTTCTTTAGTAAGAAGTACCATAGCTATCTAGTGGTTTGCTGGTTATTTTCCTGAATTTTTAAATTCCAACAAAGCATTGTTTTGCAAAAGGTCCTTTAGCCCAAATTTATTTTCTCTGTTTTGATCTCTTTGCAAAAGAACTCTTTGTTCATCCATTCTTTTAGCCTGAGACCGTAAAATAAGGCTGAAAAAGTCTTCGTCTGGGACCGTTGGCCCCTTTGTGGCAGCAGGTGGTGGGGCACATCTTTGATCATCTAATCTGGATCCCTAAAAATTGATGAGAAAATTAAAATACATGACTGGTAAAGAAAATGCCAAGCTCTATTTCCTGTCAGTCATAACAGACTGCATCTATAAACACGTTGGGGGCTTTTTTCAGAAATTTAATCTTTAGACCTGAAACTTAATGAGAATATAGGATTATGTAGAGGTGCAGCTGTATTTTGATGAGCTTAATAAGTATATTATACTATAATAATTACTCATAAATAACCTGAAATTGAGATGCAAAGGCAACCCTGTCCAAGTGTGACAGTTTCAAGATTAGAATCTTACCATAATAGGTATCAGCAATAGAATTTGAATGTCAAGTCTTTAGAAATAAGTTATATACAAACCCTTGTAGAATTACCTTTAAAAACCTTAGGCCTATTGCCTGTGTGGCTACTTTGTGTGTGACAGGGTCTCCTTATAGCCCCAACTGGCCTGGAACTTGCTATTAGACTAGGCTGACCTTGATCTTACAGAGATCTTGCCTATGCCCACCCCCCCAATTCTAGGTTAAAGGCATGCGCCACCATGCCCAACTAAGTGCCTGCTTTTGAAAACTTTAATTTCACTACCAAAGCATTAGTTCTGTACTGTCGGGCTGCTTTCTTGCGATAGAGGCAAGAGTTGTTGAGCAGTTGGAACAGAGACCATATGGACTAAGGCCTTAAATATCTGTCCGGCTCTTTATACAGTTTGACTGCCTTTCATGGTACAAAGTTGAATCTGTTAAGGAAAATAGCTCAGACTAAACTTTCTTCAAGAAATAGTCTTATGATCCTTTTATTAGAAGCACATTAGAAATATTATTGGTGAAATAAAATATAAGAACTTAAAAGTCTTCAGTATAGTTTTAGTATTAAAGCTCAGGAGTAAGAGGAAATGTGATAGCTGAGAAGTGAGTATCCATGACATTGTCAGGCACTGTGCTCAGCACTTATCAAGCTTCACACATTGAACTTCACAACCCTGAGGGTGCCACTGTCCACTGGCCTACTCAACACCACCTTTACTCACCCATCTTTTGTTTGGAGACTCATTGGAGGCTGGCCTTGAACTCTTGATGGCTTCTACCTCCACCTCCCAAGTGCTGGGATTACAGAGTACATCTCTATGTTTGGCTCTTAGAATTCTTTTTAAAATTTGGTTTACATTTATTATTATTTGTGTGTATGATGCGTGTATACAGGTGTGTATATGCCATGGCACACATATGGAGGTCAAAGGACAACTTTGTGGAGATGGATCTCTGCTTCCATCCTTACATGGTTTCCAGGGATAAGAGCTCAGGTTATCAGGCTTGTGAAGCAAGCTCTTTAGCATCTTGCTAGCTCCTCTACCATAACTCCCTGTAATGGCCTGCAGTTAATGTGACCCTTGTGCACTTCCGTTTCTAGACCATTTTCTTTTTCCAAAATTTATGAGTGTTATGCTTGCATTTGTGTAAGTGCAACCGTGCCTAGACCCTTTTCTGATTTAGTGTTCTCGTCCTTTACCTGTGCCTTATTCATCTGCTCCCATAGTCAGGCCAGAATCTCATTACCTTTAGAAAAATAGCTGTTCAAGTCCCTTGCCCATTTATTGCCAATGCAGCAAGGTTGGGGTTAGGGCCTATTAAGAGGCAATTAGTTCTGAGGGCCCTGCCCCTTGAATATGGATTCAATGTTATTTTAGTAGACTAGCTATATTATTGGTGGGGCTTGTTATAAAGATGTGTGCAGGGCTAGCGTTATAGCTTAGTGGTTGTATACTTGCCAATCATGCTGGAGCCCTGGTTTGATCTCTAGTACTACAAAGATAAGAAAGGTAACCTCTTGCTCTTTTGTGCTCTTTTGCCCTTCTGTATCACACAGTACAAAGGCCCTGTGAGAGCCTGTGCATGCTGAGCTTTACAGCTTCCAAAACTTTGGGCCAAATACACTTCATTGTAAATTTCCCAGTAGGTGGTATCATAACAGCAAAAAAAATGAGCACTTTTGAAAACAAAATACACCTATATATGCATGTGTGTATGTGTATGAACAGATTTATTTCTGGATTTTTCTACTCTTTACCTTTATGTCAATACCACAGTTTGATTACTGTAGCATTGTAGTAACCTGAAATCAGGAATGTTGATTCCTTGAGAACTTGTTTGGAGGTTCTAGCAAGGGAGTGAAGCTACTTGTATACCCTTGACTGAAGACAGGTCCTTCTCTCCTGGGGAAGGTGGTCCTCTTTGACCAAACGAGAAGCTTCAGGAGGGATGCATGTGGAGCACTGAGGAAGGGGACACCCGCCTAGCCAGCCAGATTGCCCTCACATCCATGGAATGCAGATTCCTAAAGCTTTGTTCTTCCAAAGGATTATTTTGGATTTGGGTGTCCTTTGAGATTTTTTTGTATGGTTGTTTTAGGATAAATTTTTTTTATTTCTGCAAGTTTAGAAAATAAAAGCCATTGGGATTTTGATAGGAAGTGCATTGAATCTGACCATCATTTTGGCTAGCACTGAAATTTTAACAATGTAAGTTTTCTAGTACACAAACATGGGACATCTTTCCATTTATTTATATCATCTTTCATCTCAGCAGTTTTTTAAAAAAAATTTATTTTATTTTATGTGTATGAGTGTATTGCCTGCATGTATGTGAGTGCACCCGTGTTGTGCAATGCCGTAGAGGTCAGAAGAAGGCTTTGGATTCCCCCGGAATGAGTTAAGGATGGTTCGTAGCCACCATGTGGATGCTGGGAATCGAACCCAGGTCCTCTGCAAGAGCAATTAGTGCTCTTAACTGCTGAACCATCTCTTCAGCCCCTCTCAGTTTTGTAGTTTTCATTGTACATGTTCTTTGCCTCATTGGTTTATTTCTAAGTATTTTACATTTTTTGATATGATTGTAAATGAAATTCTTCTCTTTATGTGTATGAATGTATTGCCTGCATGTATGTAAGTGCACTCATGTCATGCAATGCCTACAAAGGTCAGAAGAGGAACTAGAGTTATAGATGGTTGAGCAGCAAGTGCTCTTAACCTTACTGAGCCATCTCTCCAGCCCCTGGAATTCCTAATTTCTTTTTCTAATTGTTCATTGTTGGTATACAGAAATGCAACAATTTTTGAGAGTTTTTTTTTTTTTTTTTGTACTACTTATCGCTTAGTCCTAATAGTTTTGTGTGGAATCTTTAGGATTGTCTACATATAAGATCATAATACCTGTGAATGAAGTTTTACTTCATCTTTTCTAACCAAATGTCTCCTGATCTACTGCTCTCCAAATCTGTACACAAACATTACACTCTGCTTTCCCTCACTGACACAAGCTGTGTGGTTCAATCATGCTCACCTACGACAGCTGTGCCCATGCCTCCTTGACTGTTCCATTAGAAGTCATGCTAGATTACCACCTAAGGGAGGCAAACCCCATCTTCACCCTGTGTCCCTCTATAGTATCCTCTCTCTCTGTAAGCAAACCTTGAAAGTTTTCTCTATTTCTTCTCTGCCTTTTAACCCTCTCATTTTCTTACTCAGTCCTGTCTCTACCATGCCAGAACAATACCTTTCAAAATTTGTAATCATCTCCATGTTGCCAAATCTACTTTAGTTCCATTATCATGTTGCTTGGCTTTTTGGGGGGGGGGTCTTTTTGAAACAGGGTCTCCCTATAGCCCCCACCTGGCCTAGAACTCAGAGATCCACCTGCCTCTGCCCTCCAAGTATGGGAGTACAGGCATGCGCCACCATGCCCGGCATTACTTGGCTTCTTAGCAACATTCCTTACCTAGTACACTTTGGGTTAGTCTTGGGTTCTATCTCTCTTTTTTTTTAAATGCAGCCCAGGCCGACCTCAAACTTTCCTTCTTTCTGCCCCAGCCTTTGGAGGGCTTGGCTTATTTCTTATCTATTCTTTAAGTATAATGTATACTTAAAGTTATAAGAGGGCTTTAATACCAGCTATATGCTGGCACTGCCCAAGTTTACTTCTGACTTGGGCCCCAGGTTTTATACAGACTACTCAACCTCTCTTGTTTTACTGTCTAACTGAATATCTCAAATTTAACATATCTATTTTCTCCCCAAATCTGCTTCTCTATTGTTCTCCATCATTATTAATTTGCTAGTAGTGAAACCTAAAAGAAAGTCATCCTTGAATTTTTCTTGCCTTACACCCTCCATCCAGTTTACTATCAGATCTCACTATGATTTCAAAATAGATCTGTTTCACTTACCACATTTACCACCACCTTAATCCAAGTCAGTAAGGCCTTTTGCCGTCTTGCCATACCAGCTTCGTAACTGGTTTCTGCACTAATACCCTTGCCATTCTTCCATCAGTATCCCAGGTGACCCTCTCCTATCTTCCTATAAGACTTCACCATGGCCTACAAGAGAGTAAATGACTCTCTTCCTGACTTCCTCATCTTCATTTCATACTGCTCTTCTCCTAACTCTACCTCAGTGACAACTGGCTATCTTGTCATTCTTTGAACCTGCTGGAGATATTATGTAAGGTGGGCATGGTGGCACCTTTAATCCCAGCACTTGGGAGGCAACAGCAGGATGATCTCTATGAGAATGAAGCCAGCCTGGTCTACATAGTGAGTTCTAGGCCAGCTGGGCCTACAGGGAGACCCTGTCTCAAAAAAAAACCAAAACAACAACAACAACAAAACAATAAAGGTACTATGAAAGAGGACTTGTTGTCTCTGCATGAAATGCTCTTCCTCACAGCGGATGACTTCACCTCATTCAGCTGTCTATACAAATGGTCCACATGGCAATCCAGAAAAGTCTACCCAACTCTATCCAAAACATGTTCCCTCAACCACTACACAGCCTGGTCATCACTGCCTGTCTGTCTCACTCTTGAGTAATATACACACTTACTCCCTGTGTTTCCCACTAAAATGTACGCTCCTTTAAAAAGCAAGAGCATCTTTGATACCCATACTAGCACATGGCACATGGATGGTGTTCAGCGGTTTTCTGAAAGGTGAATATAATATAATGCCCTGATACACAATGAGCCCATCCTGGGTAATTCTACCACTGCCAAAGCTCTCAGTGATGTCTGAGCTATTATACAGAGTGGAAATATATAGGCATACCTGACACTTCACAAGGATGTCGAAGAAGTCTTCATCAGGCTCTTTCCTGTCATTTGTTATTAGATGCTGAAGTACTGACTGATTGTTGTTTTTTGTCAGACGAAGCCCTGGCAAATTACTGAAACTGGCCCTCTGGTCATCCAGACGGCGGCTCTGTGAGCTGGCAAGAAGATCTAAAAATTCGTCTGTGTTGGGGGATACCACAGAAACAGATGGTGCTATGAACAGAAGAAAAAGTAAAAGAACACCAAACAGTTGTTAGGTACATAGTTCTTTCCTGCCGTGTTCACCTGCTTTGGCACTGTTTCTAGCTTTTCCTGGCAGGCAGGGAAGGATGAACCCCAAGTACTTTAAATGATTCACTTGGGGTTTAGTCAATTAGTCTATATTCTTTTATCCAGTCTGACCCATATATGTTATGGGAGTAGACTTCAGAAGTCTTCAGAAGGTTAATAATTTTTTTTTTCTGTGCCCTGCACAGGAATCATTTAATGAACTGAAGAGTTAAATGCTGCTGGCAAGTCTTTACACTACGGTAGGAATCATCTTTCATTAGCTAAATAGAACAATATAAGTAATGTGGTTTTAGACTTTCTAAGACTGGCAGGCCTTAGCTATAGGCTGCCTCTTCAGTCATCTCCAGGCTTTTAAATTTCAGGTATGAGATTTATATACAAACCAGAAGATGTATAACTATCACTTCTATTTGTTTTTATTCTTGAAGATGGAATCTAGGGCCTTAGTATTTGGTAGGCAAATGCTTTACCACTTAGCTATAGCCTGAACCTTTTCTTTTGAGTCAGGGTATACAGTCCAGGTTGGCTTTGAATTTGCAATCCTCTTGTCTTAGTGCTGGGTGCTAGGGCTACAGGTATGTCCCATCACACTCCGCTCTCATTTTTATTTTCAGGAGTCTGATCCCCACCAAACTCCAAGGAAACTAAGGAGGCAGTATAAAATACTTAGTAGAAAGCACACTAGACTGAAAACAAGATACTTAAAGGAACTGACACAAACTTGAATGTATAAATGCCAGCATTTCAGGTATACCTGGATTAAGAATCTTTTCTTATAATCCCTGTAATGAGAATTCTAAAAATAAATGAGAGTATCAAAGACAACTATTAAAACTGGCGGAGCCAGGGATGGCGGTACATGCCTTTAGTCCAGCATTCAGTAAGGCAGAGGCAGGCACATCTCTTTGAGATCGAGGCCAGCCTGGTCTGTAGACACAGTGAGTTCCAGGCCAGATGAGGCTACAGGGAGACCTTGTCACTAACTAACTAACTAACTAACTAACTAACTAACTAACTAATAACCAACCAGGGTAAAAGCCAGGATAATGGTACATGCCTGTAATTTCTGCACTTAGGAGGCAGGAGAATTAGGAGCTCAAAGCCAGCCTTGGCTATACAGGAAGCTTGAGGCCACCCTGGCCTGTCTCTAAATAAATAAGATAGAACTGGAGAAGCAGCACAGATAACGTACTTTTCACCATCTTGGGAGTGGAGGAAGCTGCCGCTGAGGCTGGACAGCAGTTGTTTTCTTGTAAGCAGCACCTTTGGTCATCCATCCTATTGCTTTGAAAGCGCCTTAGTAAGTCAAAGAACCCTTCATCTCCAATAGTGTCTGCACTGATTTTCTACAACATAGAAAGCACTCAGTTATTCCTCCATTATCCTTGGGTTGTTAGTGAACATCATTACGTACTCAAAAGGGAAAGGATAAAGGTTAAAAATTGGTCTTAATTTTCAAAAAGAATTCAAGTGTCAATATTGGTAATAAAATGCTCCCATATAAACCCAACAAAAAATCATTTTTAACTTTTTTGTTTGTTGTCTTTTTTTTTTTTTTTTTTGAGACAGGGTCTTTCTATAACCCCAGCCTGGCACTCACTATGTAGACCAGGCTGGCCTCCATCTCAAAGAGATCTGCCTGCCTCTGCCTATTTATTTTCAACTCAAAATCCCTGTATTTCTTTGGCTGGAGAAATATATCTGAAGCACCTTCAGGCAGCTCACAACTGCCTGTAGCTCCAGTTCCAGGGAATCCAATGCCCTCTTCTGGGTTACATGGAAACTGATATACATGCAGACACTCACTCATGCACATAAATAAAAATAAGTCTTATTTTAAAAAAGAAACCAAAACACGAAAGAAACAAAAACCCACAGCATGCTTCAAAAGTACAGATGACTTCAGCTCAGCTAAGGGCACTCAGAAGACTCAAGCCTGGAATCCTAGTTCTGCTGCATTCCTGAACCATTACACAGGGCTCTGCCATTTGTCCTTTTGTTAGTTAGAAGTCAAGAAGGGGATGTAAGTAAGAGTATACAAATATTAATGGGATTTTTGGTAGAAAAGCAACAGAAATCTCCAATTAAAGTCATTTTTTTCAAAGACTTCTTCCATTGACTGAAAATAGGGCTTGATAACATAGTATATTCTTTTTAAGTTATTTTGATCCTCTTATCAGAATATACTGTAGCTAGCTTAGAAAGTTTCCTTAATACTGATCAATAAGCCCATAACACCTTTATTCCCAAGTAAGTTAAATTCAATAAACTGCTACATTTCTTAATCAAAAAGAATTTTTTAAAATTCTGTGGTTATAGGGACTGGAGAGATGGCTCAACAGTTAAGAACACTGTTTGTTCTTGCAGAAGACCTGGGTTCGAATCCCAGCACCCACACAGCAGCTAACAACTGCCCATAACTCCAGTCCCAGGGGATCCGACAGCCTCTTCTGACCTCTGCGGGCATTGCACGACACGGGTGCACTTACCTACATGCAGGCAATACATGCATACACATAAAATTAAAA